AGGAGGCGCCGTCGTGTCGGCCGCTGCGGGGCTCCGGCGGAAGGAGGGTGTGGGGGATGTGGGGGCGGCGGGAGCGGCGCGGCGCGGCGCGGCGCGGCAACACGTGCAGGCTCCCACGTAGGAAGGAATCAAACGCTAGGGCCGACAATGGCGGAGGCGCTACTCGCCAAGCGCCCTACGTCCGCCCTCGGCGCCCGCGACGCTTCCGAAGTGAACCCGGAAGGAGCATTATTCTCGCAGTCGAAATTCTCGTAAGCACGAAGCGAGAAGCTTTCCATTAAAAGTATTTCAGATTTTTCCTCATGTTTTATGAATTTCCTGATTGCAGTTCAAGATGGCATCCATTTTCAAAATGAATCAAATTCCAAGTTGCTTAATTCAATTTTTAAATATTTGTATTTTGCCCCTCTCCCGCCTGGTGACACGGTGGTGTACTTGCCATTTTTTGGCAAGATGTTTGCGATAAATGAAAACATTAGTAACAACTATGCTAAAAACATTTTACCTTCCTACAGGGAATTCTGAGCAAAAATAAGTTCAGAAATACTAATAAATTGATTACTAATTACCATTCTGGAATTATTGGGTGATACTTTTGAAAATATGTACTAGGAGTTTCTATGGAGATTCGCTTCTTTCATTTCCAACTTATTTTGAAAATTACATTCAGTGTTGCTGTTTGCGAGCCTAAAAAAATTTAATTAACCCCTAGCTAAAACATTCCTTCTGGAACGTTTTAGTAATTTTGGGGAAATGGTGCGTGACTAAAATACAATTCACAGCTTCTGTCCTACATTTAGGGAAGTCCTTCTGGTGTTCTTGTCGTGAATTTTAGCAATTAGAGAAAGTGCTTGTTGTATCTACAATGTAGTTTGAGATTGCTCTTTATAGACGGTCGTGAAAGTTAAAATGTTTCTTCCACTGCTCTTCCTTTCCAATCTTTCTGAGGTGTTTCAAACGAAATTACAACCGCTTTTATCGTCTTGACGTTTAGGAGTGTCTTATTCCTAATAAATTAATAATATAATTTTTCACCATTAAGATGAACATAAATATTATGAACATAATTTCATGTATTAGTTTTTATACTTTTATAAAAATCTTTTCAATTATTTGCAGACATTTTACCGCGACACTTACAACAAATGTTACAAATTAACAATTGTCAGTGTACTTTTCTTCTTAATTGCAATACTACATAATAAATTATTGATAACATTTAGTCAATCATTTTTAGTAACCATAATTATTGTTATCTATGTTTGAGTTATTATTTTCTGTGTATTAAACGAGAATTATTCGTGATAAAATGTAGGACCCCCTAAGCAATGATTAAGCACTAATTTCTGTCAAAAGGCTATCTTCTATGCACATTCGTTTTTTACTTGTTAATTACATCACAATCTACATGAATTATGTGTTGCTGAAGATACGTTAACACATAAGATATATTATCCAATCGTAAATTACCAACAAGGTTCTTTTGACGTAAAATAAACATACGACAGCGATCCAGCTGCCGCGGCGCTGTATCATCCCATTTACCTCTCTCAAGTTTACAGAAGTTTGCGTGAGGCACTTGGACAACAAGTGTGTCTGCGAGTCGGGGCACTTCATTAGCCAATTAGTGCGTTCAGAGAGGTATTTATGTCGCGGGAGAGCAGCGGGCGCAGCAGCTGGCGGGGAGGAGAACCCACGAGGAGGGGGTGGAGGAGGGGGAAGGGGGAGCGAGGAGCCCGCCGTTTCAAGGCCAGACCCGGGTCTGGTTTTATGGCTGCTACGGCGAAAGTTTAGGGTGGCTCGCGGCCCTCCGTCGCGCACCTCACCCGCGGCCGACCCCCGCCCGGGCGCTTGCCAGAGACTGGTCAGTTCAACGGCTCAGGGAGTCATCATGCAAAGACCACTGGATATTCCAACAGGATGAACGGATTTTCGCCTGACCTGCAGTTTGCAAGAGATCAGATGCGTCATCAGGCATTGGAATAAAATGGCGGCTTCATACCAATGTAACATGTACGATAAACAGCTAGTAGATATGAAGATAACGTGAACGTTCGGTGAATGAAACTGATTGATGGAGTATGATGCCTCGTGTAAGTAATAATATCCTATAGAAACGCTAATTTTTAATAAAACTCTGAAATATATATTTCTTGGATTATTGTCGATGTTCTTTTCTGGTTAATTTATAATTCCCTATTTATGCACAATTTTGTACTTGAGTGTTTTAATAAGCATCATGATTTGGGAGATTTGTTAAAGGGCCTCATGACGTTATTGCAGAATAATTTGGTAATATGTGCGACTTTTACGAATATTATTTGAATACAAACCCTAGTTTCATATATAGATAGGAACTTTACGGTGCATTGTAAACATCATTTTAATGATCCTCATTACATATGCTTTCAATGTTGTTTTTTTTCCTGCATGATACATAAAGAGCTTATACGTGTTGAACAAGAAAAAAATTAGTGCAACTTCAAGTACCTGGCTTTCCATAAAGTATTTTTTAAATGTTTTATCGTATTGTCCAGAACTTAGCGATTTACTATGCCTTAATATGGAGGTAATATACTAATACGATCCGTATAATAAAATAGAATGGCATACTCAAGGGGGAGGGATAGAATGGCTCTTCATCACACACAAACACACACACACACACACAAACCAACGACACGTATTCAAAAACACAGCTATTACAAATTTACTATACTTACAAAAATAAATCAATTGTAACAGTAAGTAAACAAATAAAAATACATTTTATATATTCATACAATTCTTTATAAGAAAACACCAAGTCGGCTGAACGCTATATCTATAAACTCCCCCATCCCCAAAAGTCCTGGGTGCGCCTCTGAATAAATGCACAAGCTTCTTAAAATTTATTATGAGACATGCTTTTTAAAATTGTAATCTACAAAAAAAGAAAGTTAAGGCAAAAAGAGAAAATTATTTATAATTGATCTCTTTTGTTGGACCATTTCATGTTATTCATGGTTTTCCGTAAAAGTAATCTTACAATTTAATAGAAAATAATAATGAGCATTAAATATTGGTGCAATGTTTCAAACTCCAAACCTAAAACAAAATTTTAATAAATTAGATCACCTTATCAGAAAACATGAACAGAAAAAACATTTCCTCGTAAATCTAAAATCATAAAGATAGAGATTTCAAGTTTATACCTACAGCCTATTTACATATAATCGTACGCTATTTTTGGCATTATTTATCGAGTCAATTGTCCAAGTTATTGTTCAGTCTTCTTTTTTATGTTTATGCTTATTCTAAAGCTATATTATGATTACAAATTTATGTTTCAATACGACATTTCAACATCACTGCCCTCAAAATGAAAGTTGAATTGTCCATAGTTTCTACTTTTGTTCATTAAAATCTTTCATAGAATCATCTTGAAGGTTTTCGCATGATCTTTGTTCATGCTCGGTAGCATATCACACACGGTGCTAGAGACTTCTAGGTGTAAATAAACCGAAGATGATAGAAAAGAATAAAACGTTTCAAAATCAGCAGATAACTCCAATATCTCGGTTCATTGCGAACAGACTTTTGTCAGTGATTCTCTGGCACACCGTACCAGAACATACGTCGCACCCCTGTGGAGGCGGGAATTTATTTTTATAGGTCGGATACATTAAGCTACAGCCTTGCGACTTGGGAAGCAGTTAGAGGGGGGTGGGCTTTATCTTAAAAACTAACCAAAAATGTAATGTAATCTAATTCTACAGTTAAAATACCAACTCTATGGCATGCGTAACTAACTGGTAATATGAATTATTAACGAGTTATTATCGAGTTTTTCTTTTTTTGATAGATTAATTTTTTACCGGAACCTATAGCTCAACTCCATCTGTAGGACCAACGTTCTGCGCCCGGGTAGTAGTGTTGGCGCGGGGGTGGGGCGAGGGAGGGAGGGAGG